AGGAGAAAGCATTGGGTCGACCCCACCTACCTGATTGTGAGGTAACACCATTTACAATCCATAGTACGTATATTTCCAACACCTGTAACTTGGTCATCTTGTCCAGAAATGCGCTCGTTTCTTTAATTTCCTGCCCTATGAAATCACTTCCATTGCATTTTCTTTTCAAACAGACGGCGATAGCATCGGGAATCCAGCTTTTGAAGACTTTGGGAAATGTTTTCAAAGTTTCTAATTTCAACTCTTAAGTAACTCGTGCAACCCGCTCCCAGTCAGTTTCACGCTTAGTACTATCAATTACATTGAGCTGATATGACATGAGATTGGCTGCTCTCCAGCTTTCTGAGGCCAATCGCATCATCAGGGAGGTGTGAAACTGCACCACAAAGCTATCTACAGTCGTTTCATGAAGCGAGGGAGTCATTTACGAAAGTAGACGGGATTTAAAGAATTGAGCTGTTAATATTGTGAAGAGACACAGATTATTTAAACGGTCTAATTTTGAGAAACACCGTTTCCGAAAATAAATCAGTTGCCCTTTACAGCAAATACATTAGTGTGTACAGCTTATTTAAGGGTCGGGAGCTCAAGGAAAGCTGAAATGAAAGGAATGGGGACTCTTGCCGGATTCATGAGCAAACCGATTTACATTTGCAGTCACTCGTCACGTTCCTTGAATCCTGAAATATAAGGCTTTACGTACGGTGGCCCCGAATTAAAACTGTCCATTAAACACAAATACATAACCATCTAAAAATACAGTCTTGCTACTGTAGCTGGAGGAACACAGCAGGCCAGGCAGCAGGAAAGTTGACGTTTCGGGTCGGGACCCCTCTTCAGACCCGAAACAAGAACTTTCCTGCTCCTCTGACGCTGCCTGACCTGCTGTGTTCCTCCGGCTCCACACTGTATTGACCGACTCCAGCATCGGCAGTTCTTGCTATCTCCTCCACTGTAGCTCCCTACATTTCTTGTTCTACCTTCCACCCCTGAAGGCGCGGGTTAAAAGTGGATTGCAGTCCTGTGATTGAGAGCAGGCCGAACCCACACAGTGGAAGGCTCATGAGGCTGATTTTATTCCTTCCTAGTGGAGAACCACGGAGGAGGATCGTCAGTTCTCCATTATTACACCGGCCAAGGGCAAAGCCCTAGACTTGCTAGTTTATACGGTTTAAAACAAACAGACAGACTTGCATCTATGTACCGCCACTCACGTCCCAAAGTGCTTTGCAGCTACTGAAGCCCATATGAAGTATAGCCACTATCGATAGACTATGACTTCTTCAGAACTGGGAGGCACTGCCAGCGTTTTACTTAAAAAAAGTCACTTATGAATTTGTTAGGGAGAGTGAAACGTCATTTCCAACATTTGGTAATGCTGTACTCTCATAGTTTATCGTAATGGACTGGATTAATATTCCAATATGAGCATTGTAGTTTGCAATTTTGAATTCCATTTAGAAAAGTCTGAGACGAAATGTTGGAAACAAGCTTAAAAATACGTATCATGAAAAATTGGATGTTACAGTAAATACCCAACGACATCACTAATAACCTTAGGAAAGGAATTCCAATCTGGGCTGTATGAGACTGCAGTGTCACACCGACATTCAGAGCCAGGAGGAATGATGGGTCGAATGACCACTCTCTAGCTGTAGCATTCTATGACACTTCGAAGAGAGTTTGCATCAAATCAAGGAAATTAAAAGTGGGCAATGAATGCTCACCTTGTTAGCGACACCCAGAGGGCGAGAATGAAAATGCAATGAGCTATTAAACTACAAATGGGGATCTTATTTCGTAAAATATTGTGGCTGCTATTGATAAAGTGCTCAAAAAAAAAGCTATGCTTAATTATTAGACAATAAAGAGAAAGGATATTCCCATGGACCCGTAGAAAACACAAAGCGGAGAAACTCAGCAGTCTTGCAACATCTGTAGGGAGACAGAAACAATCAATGTATCAAGTTTGATTATGGCCTCTTCAGAGCCAAACTCAAAACATTAGCAATGTTTTTCTTTCCACAAATACTGCCAGCTTTGAACAGTACCTTGTTTTTGATTCAGACTTTCAGCATCTGCAGGATTTTATTTGATGTTAGAATGTGAGCTGGTGCCCCTGATATCCCCGATACAGTGGGCCCCATTGGGACCGTTCGCTTTTGTAGATGCTCCATCTAGTGACCATTTGTGGAATAACACCAGAATATCGAGCACTGAAAATCATCGTAAGATCAGATGTCCGAAACAAAGTTCTGCAGAAGGGTCACTCGACCCGAAACGTTAACTCGGATTTCTCTCCACAGATGCTGCCAGACCTGCTGAGATTTTGCAGCAATTTCTATTTTTACCCCCCAAAAAAGTGCAAACTTAGTACTTGCATACTAAACAGAGGAAGCAGTTATACAGGTCTGTTCGGACTATGGTCCCTGTCATATTATCTCTCAAGCACATTTTCTTGCCACTAGCCGATTCTCTGCACTGTCTGGAGTACTTATTACATAATTCACATCACTTTTTTTTGATTGATAGGGTCCAGTGAACCTTGCTTTTAATAGTTCCCCAGAGACAGGCAATCATACTAACACCTTGTCTCCAACAAAGGACAATTTGAATTTACCTTTTTAAAATCTGCTTTGTGGAGCACTTTTCAAGTGCTTTTTGGCCAACTCTCACGGTTTGGTTAGTTTCTCGCCAAATCTTTAAACATAGACTGAGCTTCGTTCATACATTTTTCTTGAATCAATTTAAAGGGGTGCTTTTACCTCATGTCCATATCAGTTTAAAAAAAGGACTGAATCCCATAGACTCATTTAGGACATATGGCAAACAGTAACAAAAGGAATTCTTTTATTGTAATTATTTGGACATTCCTGATGATAAGCTTTAATCATGGCCTTCAAAGTTTAATGTCATCTTTCTTTAAACTGAAGACAAATTGTTGGACATAAAATGTGAACCCTGATCTGATTGTATTTGTGCAATCATCTCATTAAAAAAAAAAGTAAAAACCTTTTTCACACAACCACTTTTAGCATAATTTCCCCCAAAAGATACTGCTTCAGGAAATCACATTCATAATTGTTAAAATATACCAGATGCCTGCTTCTAGTTTTAGGTAAGGATCCTACACAATCTATTAAGATCCTGTTAACGTATTATTTGAAAGCTGGTATCAGAATTAAAGGTGCAGATGGTTGGGTTTCCCCACTAACTGACGTCCATTTTTGCCAGACATGCAATACATCTTTATGTAATCTTGGCCAATAAAAATGTTTTGGTATTTCAACTTATGTTTTATTAATACCTAACGAGCCACTCTTTTCTGTTACAATATCCAGATGGGACTACTACCTGATTGACATGGCATGGTTTAACTCCAAATACTATTTTCTCCTTCAGTGACCCTTCTGGATGGTAAGTTGTGTCATTAGCTGACAGGAGTGATAAACCAACAGACACTAGTTAATCTCCTCAATTTAAAAAGAGGAAGGAACTACCACTCCTTTTGAAATAAAATATTCAGAACCTATAGTGGCCTAAATCTCTATCAATAGGCGAGGAAGCATATTCCTGATTGTCCCGAGTCATTGCTTCCTTTCTAGTAGGCATCATTTTAATACCCATTTTCTTTCCTGATACATGGAGGATTTCTTAAGCATTCTTAGTACCGCAATTAGTCCCCCATTTAACTTCCAACAATTAGCTTTAGTCTATCCAGTCTTATTACAATAGAAGTGTATTATTTTCCTTGATATCAGTTTTGGGTTATAGGCTTTCTTCTTTAGTATTATGATGTCCTTTTGTTTGTTCTCTAACTCTTCCATCTGCGGAAATTTCTATTCCTCCAATTTCCTTGCAGATTCCCATATGACCATCTCCACACATGTAACAGATGGAGATATCACCAGAACTGCTGTTTCTCAGATCTTTGATACACATCTAAATAAGCCATGAGGTTTACTTGGGTATATTTCTGAATTCTTTCACAATCAATTTCCCTTGTATTCAAAAATTTTCTCTAACATGTGATTGAAACCATATAATTTCTCTTTCTTGCAAATTCTACAAATGTTTGATTAGATTTCATTCTTGTAGTCTTACATTTTAAACTAATAATGCTTCAGGGACAAGTTCATAAACATTGAACAGTGTATTTTTACCCATTTCATAGTCTGCAGATTATTCTTCTGACAAATTGGTGTATATATTTATAGCTATCAGAAGTAGTATAGGTAGGTCGAGTTGTGGATAGTGTGGAGGGCTGTTCTAGGTTACAAAGGGACATTGATAGGATGCAGAGCAGGGCTGAGAAGTGGCAGATGGAGTTTAACCCTGAAAAGTGTGAGGTGATTCATTTTGGAAGGACAAACTTGAAAGCAGAATACAGGGTTAACGGAAAGATTCTTGGCAGTGTGGAGCAGAGGGATCTCAGGGTTCATGTCCACAGTTGCCTGTAAGCTACCACACAGGTGGATAGTTGTTAAGGCAGCGCATGGTGTGTTCGCTTTCATTAATAGAGGGATTGAGTTCAAGAGCCGTGAAGTTATGCTCCAGCTATACAAAAGCCTGGTTCGGCCACATCTGGAGTATTGTGCCCAGTTCTGGTTGCCTCATTACAGGAAAGATGTGGAAGCGTTGGAAAAGGTGCAGAGGAGATTTACCAGGATGTTGCCTGGAATGGAGGGAAGGTCTTACGAGGAAAGGTTGAGAGCGCTAGGGCTTTTCTCTTTAGAACGACGAAGGATGAGAGGTGACTTGATAGAGGTGTACAAAATGATCTGAGGTTTGGATAGAATGGACAGCCAGAGACATTTTCCTAGGGTGGAGGTAGCTATTATGAGGCGGCATAGTTTTAAAGTGAGTGGAGGTAGATATAGGGGAGACATCAGAGGTAGGCTCTTTACTCAGAGCGGTCAGGATATGGAATACATTGCCGGAGAGGGTCATGGAGTCAACCTCATTAGGGGCATTTAAGCAGCTATTAGATAGGCATATGGATGATATTGTAAGGTAGGGGTGGAGGTTAGATAGACCTTAGGTTTAGGGTAAAAGTTCAGCATAACATTGTGGGCCGAAGGGCCTGTACTGTTCTAGAACACTCCAGCACTTAAGGTCTAAACATCTTTTGACCACTGTCTGCCCAGCTACCTTTTCAAGGGAGGTGAAATATCTTTCAACTCCATCTCTGTAAATTTAGGCACTAGATTTCCAGTTAAAATCAATCATTCACTGGAATCTGAATCACACTGAGGCATGACCTCTTCTTTCTTTCTTCCTTTACTCTCAGCTGTTGTCTGGCCTTCAAGCTTTTTAAAATGCAATTTCCCCATTTTTCTTCTTTCTTTCAATTTTTCTGTTATTCCCTCACCTCACAATCTAATTCGAGCTCTTATTTCCAGTTCTCTTTTCCTTTCTCTCTCCTCCCTTTGCATTGTTCTTTTCTTTTTCTTCCAACTCAAATCTGTTCATTTCTCTTTCTTTTTATTCCATTTCTGGTTGAATCTTACCAAACATACAAGTTCAGTGCTCCTACTTTTAATTCTAAATTGCAGACTTATTACAGGCTGTTCAGCCTGTCATGTCTTTGCTGGTTCTTTGAATAAACATTACGACTTTATGCTATTCTCCTAGTTTCTCCCCGACAATCATAAATATTGTTTCCATCCAAATAATCATTCAATGCTCTCCACTGAATCTGCCTCCACCACATTTCCAGACAGTGCATTCCATA